TCAAGCATGATGGTTTAACCATTAGTAATGCCAAAAGGTAAGCAATGGAAAAGGGTGAAAGTTCAAAAAGACTGTTGCCAGAGTTGGTGCAATTTATCTGCTTATCTCTTTGTTGATTTGACCTAGCTGGATAGGATCTGTTTGCTCTTCATCTCTGTGATCATGACCAATGTTGTTTTAGGCTTTTTAGCAATCATCAATTTAGTACGTGTTTAATCATTGGAGACAGGCAGCGGAAAGCAAACAAGCAAAAAAATCAGTACTGTAGTGAGAGAAGGTAACGCGGTACTATCGACTCCTATGTTGGAGAAGGAAAGTGCATATAAGTTTTCCAGGCAAATCCAGTTTATAACCAATCAAATCAAAAAACTTTCAAATCTGAAGTAAAGAAGCTCCTTACTAGTGTCATTGATTCTGGTTACTTTTGAGTATTCGTTACTAATCATTACTCTTCTACAAAGTAATAATTTATTGTATTCGTGACTTTGGTTACTATCATTACTTTGATTACTATGAGTAGTATCAGTATAACGATTTGCCAACGTGCGTCGTGTAATTAGTGTCGAATTTCAACAACTTCAATGAAACCGATTATATTATTATCTTGTAAGAAAATAGACAACCTTAATTTGCAAAATTTTTCAAGCATAATTTATTCAAATCTGCCGTGCTTAATGCAAACATCTTATCTTCAAACTTCTTGCAAAACGAGATGGGTTGTTAATTAATTAATTAAAAAATTATATTATTACAATATTTCAGTCAGAAAATTATCGATGTGAAATTTTAATTTTGAAATTAGTAGGCTATGTTTACTTATAGCGACAATTAGACCTGCGTTGCTAAGGAAACTTTTAAAGTAATCAAGTAGCTGTCAATTTAATTTTGTGATTTGATTTAAAAATTGTGAACTTAGTGGCTGTTTAAAAGTTATATTTAATACTATAAAGTAGAAAATGTCTTGATTCCGAGTATTTCTTTGACTCCACCGGATTTAGTAGAAGTAGCCCAAAGTAGCGTCACAAAAATTATTGCCAGCTAAATCGCGGAAAATTTACGAAACCGCGTATTCAAGATTCATGGAATGGAAGATGAAAAAAACATGGAGTTCTTTGTCGGAGACGGTGTTATTGGCTTATTCTTCGGAATTGGCACAACAACAAAAGTCACCAACAGTGTGGTCAAATTATTCAATGATTAAAAGTATGTTACGATCCAATAATAATGCAGACATTTCAAAATATTTCAAACTAATTACATTTCTGAAACAAAATGGGAAAGGTAACAAGCCCAAGAAAGCTGCGATTTTTTAAGAGTACACAAATTAGTGATTTCTTAAATAATGCTCCCGATGAAGTTTATTTAATGGCAAAGGTTGTTGTTGTTGTTGTATTTGGGATTGCAGGAGCTTGTCGAATTTGTGAAATCAGCCAGGTAACATTAGATGATATTGAAGACTCGGGAAGAATGATGTAAACAGGAGATTTGTAGTTACTGAAAAATCTATTAAATTTTATCGAATGTACATAGTCCTTCGTCCAGCAGCAGCAAAGGATCGCCGCCTGATTTATGCATATAACAATGGAAAATGTATCAATCAGGATGTGGGTAAAAACAAGTTTTATATCTAAGGTTCCTGAAACAGTGGCTAATTTTCTTCAACTTGAAATTGCTAACTCATATACAGGTCATTCATTTAAAATATCGTATGCTACACTTTTTGTTGAATCTGGGGGAGACTTGATGACACTAAAGAAACATGGCGGTTGGAAATCATCAACGTTCGCTGAAGGGTATAATATGTTGATTAATCGGTAGCACACAGGACAGAAATAGCTAATAAAGTGTTTATAACGTGTGGTAGTGCTGAAATAACACCGGATTTGCGACCAAGTACCTCAACGGGAGTTGTGATGGCAGAAAAACATATAATGTCAACACAAGAAAATTCGACTGTTGTACCGAATAGTTTAAGGAACGTGTCATTCATGCAATGCACATTCAATAATTGTACTTTTGATATAACGGAAATGTAACTTTATTGTATAATAAAATATTCTAAAATTGAATATCAACCTTTGTTTATGTGTTTATACAATATCCGGGAAAAAACTACTCAATTTGTTTCCCGGGAAAAAAGTAATTTCAGAAAAGGTGACATTTTGTAACCAGAGATAAAATGTCAAACTTTTTTTCCGTAAAAAAAAGTACATGATGATTTCGTGCTCGGCTTGCTACTCGTTACTTCGGGCATCGATGAGTAACGAGTACTCGCCCAACGAATAGTTACTGTTGCAACACCTCTACTCTTTACACATCATATATTTTGTACAGTTAAGAATTTGAAGACTTATAGCTTGTAAGATGTTATTGTCTTTTCTTTGCCAACCTTTTTCAATTATTTTTTTATTTTTCTTTTTTTTTATATATGTTTTTTAATATGTATATGTTGCCATTCCTTATTATTAACTAGATTTTGTTATTATTGCATAGAATTTGAACTGTTCTGTCCTTATATGACTGTTCGTATACTATTTGTAATAGTTCTGGGAATGATATATTGATTGATTGATGAATCTGGGTAGCACTAAGTTTTTTTGACCTGTAGAAGCTCGAATATCTTGTTACCCCTCATTCCATTTGAAAAATATTTCAACATTGCGCGCAGCTGCCATCTTAATATATTATTCAACTGTTATTATTACATCAAATTTATGCGTCAATGCAATCTTCCCGAATTTCAGATTGCTAATTTGGTCCGTTCAAAAAAATAAGTAGGGGGGTACTGTGGGGAATCTTAAAAAAACTGCCTTTATATATTTTTTACGAGTTCTTTCTCAATTTTTACTTTATGCTGCCTTGTATCTCAACAGCTGGCGCCGCTGTTTTGAGAGAATAGCGCCTAAAAACATTTTAGATTAAGCTTTAATATCCCGGTACGCTAATAGTATGGAACTCATAAAAACATTCTCTAACTTAGTTCGCCACAGAGCTATCTTCCTGTATACAAATATGGTCAAAGATTTTTTTGATATATTAACGTTTTATAATTTCTCCAAAACTTGTCATCAAAAATATCACGTAATTGCTCAAGTTTATAGAAGTCATAATGATGATTTGCGCTTTATTGTGTAGACTAATTTTTATTACACCGACGCAGCCGCGTAGGCAGAAGCCTAAATGCCAGGCCACCGCGGCTGGACAATCGCACATCGCAAGGCAGCATCATGCAGGAGAGCTCTGAGGAGCAAAGTCCATTATTGTAGCGGTAGAAGAGAGGTCAATCGCCGACAGCCTGCCGGTGCGAAAGGGTCCCGAGATTGTCCATTAGAGAAGAGTCATCGATAAGTCGGACAACCCTCCTCTGAACAGCGTCGAGCATGGATAATGTAGTCGAGGCGACAGCTCGCCAAACATGTGAGCAATACTCGAAGCTAGGACTTATCTGAGCCTTGTACAGGGAGGAGAGGATATGTGGAGAAAACTACTTCTTAGGCATAAACAAATAGCCTAGCTTTTTCCCAGCTGTTGCCACTATTGGCGATCAAGCCCTCGGTGATCTGGACTCCGACCAGCCGAAATGAACGGCTCTTTGGTAGAATCTTTGTATAATTTACCTCGAATACACCTGATGTAATTGCTAAATTCCTTATGTAGTTTATTCGCTGCGTTCTGTTGCCGCGTGAAGTTCTGTAAGTGTTCATCGAATATTTCGTCTGCTGTCCGGTCGACTTTTCCTAAGTTTTGTAGTATCTGAAATGGAAAAATACATAAATCAATATTAAACAACAACATATTGAAAATGATCATTATTATCAAGATTGGAACTTGGAATCCTTAAAACACTGATCTATTTTGAACCAACCACCATCGCAATTTATGTTCTCAAGACTCGGGATGAATGAAATATGTTTGACGCCCACGTATTCGAGCGCAACAAAAATATGTTACAACTTGTAGCGTGGTAGGTGCTGCCTCTGATGGTTTGCTCATCGCAATTCTGATTGCAGCGCTGCCGATGCTTGTCAAATAGTATAGTATAATTTATTCGGACAATTCATTACAGTATAAAATATTTAACAAAAGCAAGAAATAAGTGAATAACTGAGAGCCAAACATACTCCGTGTACGTGAATGAATAGCATTAAATATAAAAATAAGACTCAATAATGTAACATATTACGTAATTAAATTATCCCCATCAGGTAAATAGCACTCACAGTTCGTTAAAAGGGTCACAATCAGTTAAGGTAAGTGGAGACTGGGGGCTAGTTGTATGGGCCTATTTTCCCGGCTTGATCTATTTAATTTTTATGTTAAACATGTTTCTAGTTAACTTTTCTCTAAAAGGGGGCTATCTGCCCGAACATAATATTTTATAAACGTTGCGTCGAAAGTGCAGAGTCAACCTACTTGACGTCATCTTTTTGTTGTTTACAACGGGAATTTACTGTGGAAGCTTCAATACCATTGATTAGGTCATGGATTATTAACGATGTGATGATGTTTCAAGAAATGGTTGTTTAAACAATTCGAGAAATTATACTGATGAATCAATAATATTAATAACAATCAATCCTCAAGATATCTACATATTTATAATAGTTATTATCCTCCAGGTTTATTTAATTTGACCTTTGTAGGCGTTGTTTGCTTTACGTGGAGACATTTTGATGCCCATTTTGCGACTTGGATCGAAGAATCATTTACGCTCAGAAAAAGAGCAGCTAATATACTAAGTGACATATAAATCCGAACACCCAGTTTAAATAGTTTTATTTTAATAAAAGTTGGTGAATGTATAGTTATATAGCGAGAGCCCCTCGTATATCTTCCTAATAGCTATAATTATATCTTATCTTAGTAAACAACCCTATGATATATATATTGATGGTTGTGCCCTTCAGGCATCAGTTTAATCCTATTACTCTTACATTGAACTCACTTAGGTTAGGTTTGCTAACATATCGTTGTTAGTCTAAACATTATATTTATAGTAGAATAAAGTATCAAATCGCTTGTAAGTCGTTTTTAAAAACACGATTCCGCGACGCGATACCATCATTGGCGCAGCTAGCAGTAGGATCAGAAGACTGGATCAGAACTCAGCAGAGGACTTCCAGGCTGATTTCAATCACTAACTTCTGGAACCGACGAGACCAGGAAGATCAAGAGAAGCCCAAGGACGAAGATCGACGCCAGAGTGCTGTGTCTTCAAAGTCTGAAGGTAATTCAAGTCGAATTTTCCTTGTCTCTCCTCTCACCTTCTTTTTTTTTAATTTAAGATTTTTGGTGCAGTTTTGTAAAATTTAGATTTTGCTCAAGATTGCTCAAAACATTAGTATTAAGTTAGTTCTCGTTCAAGAGCTACATTTTTGAAGAGAACTTAATTTTAGTAAATTTGTCGAGAGCTACATTTTCGATTTAGATTAGTTACTATTTTTTAAATTTTTGCCGGTTGCAAAATTATTAATATTAAGGAAATTTTCACATTAAAATAAGGCTTAGGTAGAATCTCATTAAATTTTATTACATTCGTATTCACTTGGTATTTTCACATTTTTCATACTTTTACATTTTTAATTTTTACACATTTTACATTTTTTATAGACCATAACTTTATGCAAGATTCTAATTCGGCTCTAGATACCATTACAAACTTATTAGAAAACATGTCTCTTAATAACAGTACAATCACCGTTCCAAGCATACACGCCGCAAAAGCTATTGCAGATTTTCTGCCATATTTCGATGGTGATACCCAACAACTGGAATCATTCATCTTTAGATGCGAAACATTTTATAATACTTATGGTAGATCGAACGATGCCAGTTTGAACGATTTCGTCTTTAATGCAATTTGTTCAAAACTAAAAAGTAACGTTTACAACTTTTTAATGTGTAGACCAGATCTCATTTCTTGGCCTCTAATTAAAAATGCACTCAGAGAGCATTTCGGTGACAAAATTGACAGACAAACCCTTACGAGAGAATTTCTGCAATTTTCAAAATATAGAAATGAAACCATTTTGGAATTTTTAGGAAGATTAAAATTAATTAAATCAAGAGTTGAAGTTAAAATCCAGACAGATCCTTCACTCACCCCTGATCAGAAAGTTTTACTTATCAGCCAAAATGAATTGAATGCACTAGACGTATTGACCGCAAATAAATACTTCTGCAAACACGAAGACTTATTAGAAGCAGATCCATGCCTAGTAGAAATTATCAAAAATGGAAGAAACACTTGTCCCATAACAAGAATACAGCAATCAAGAACTCTGGTACAGCAGATATCTTCATCTAAAGTAATCATATGTCCAAGAGAGCCCACTACAGTACATTCGTCATGTCCAGAAGACGGCCTGATAGTTATTTCTCAACCAAGTCTCATAGAACTCCAGCGATGCAGCTTAGAAATCAATCAACACAAGTTCTATCCCTCAGATCGCATCGACCATGAAACAATTTTCCCATTACCAGCTATAAGCCTGACCAATTTCATGAAGCAGAACCTTGTTGATGTAATAAAATTCAACTTGAAGACAATCCAGAATCTTCAAATATCCCAAGAACAAATCAACGAACACAGTATCCAGTTCCCAGATCGTCCCATAGAGAAGACAAATCTAATCATATTTTTACTTCTTCTATCAACTTTCATTGGTTACATCATTTACCAAATTTTAAAGAAGCTAAGAGAAGCAAGACGACGTAGAGAAGAAGAAGCAGTTCCGGATTCGCAAACTTTGGATCCCCCGTTTGCTCATCTTCGGCAGGGAGGAGTTATATAGCGAGAGCCCCTCGTATATCTTCCTAATAGCTATAATTATATCTTATCTTAGTAAACAACCCTATGATATATATATTGATGGTTGTGCCCTTCAGGCATCAGTTTAATCCTATTACTCTTACATTGAACTCACTTAGGTTAGGTTTGCTAACATATCGTTGTTAGTCTAAACATTATATTTATAGTAGAATAAAGTATCAAATCGCTTGTAAGTCGTTTTTAAAAACACGATTCCGCGACGCGATACCATCATTATTTATCTTACTGTAAATGACAAGTGAAAAAATGTTCAGCCTTATCAGTTGGACATTCCGGTTTTTATACTGCTTTTTTTTTTAATTCACTAACGCTCTAAAAATGAATATTTCAGCCGCAGTAAAGAATCAACGTTGGCGGATTTTGGTTCTTGACATCCTTTATGATCGGTTACGATGCCTAGAGTACGGAGACCTGTACGATTTCATCAACTTAGTGAGTTTGATAGTGGGACTTCGGGAAGCTGGACTTTCTTTTCGGGCAATTGCAGTTAGAGTGCAAAGAAGTGTAGACACTGTGGTTAGGTGTTGTCAGGCATGGCTTCGAGAAGGCCGTACGCAAAGAGCAAGGGGCACTGGACGCCGCCGTAGAACAACAGACCGTGAAGATCGCCGCCTAAGATTATTGGCCTTAAGGGAGCGTTTCTCCACTACCAGGTCCATCGCAAATGAATGGTTTGCAGAACACGGAAGACCTATTGGCATGCGGTGTTTACCGACGAATGAGAAGTTTTGGCTTGTTTTCATACCGGCCACACTGGGTCCTCCCTTTAACTCGAGAACACCACCGTAATCGCCTTGAGTGGTGCATACAACGGTCACTCTGGGATCAGGATTTTCTTTTTTTTATATCGAAACAGCTGCGCAGGCAGAAGCCTAAATGCCGGAACACCGCGGCTGCTATGATGATGCCAAAGAAATTTTGTTAATACGATTTTTGAACTGCCTAAGGTTAGTAGAACTGGGAAAAGCTTCCTCCCGTAGATTGTTCCACAATCTAGACACCCTCGGGACAAAGGAGCGGTCGTATCGGCCAGTTCTGGATGTACGAAGTTTGACACGGTTAGGATGGGACGCCGATGTCAGGCGGGTCTGTCTGGCAGGCACATCGCGCGGCGGCATCATGGAAGAGAGCTCTGAGGAGCAAAGCCCGTTGGTGTAGCGATAGAAAAGAGCTAGATAATGTAGTCGGGGGGGCAGCACCCCAAATGTGTGAGCAATACTCGAGGCTAGGCCTTATCTGGGCCTTGTATAGAGTGAGAAGGTCATGCGGAGAAAAGTACTTCTTAGCCCTAAACAAATAGCCTAGCTTTTTCCCAGCAGCTGCAGCTATTGAAGAGATGTGTTCGTGCCAGATCAGGTCCTCGGTGATCTGGACTCCGACCAGCCGAAATGAATGGCTCTTTGGTAGAACTCGACCGTCCATCGAAACTGTATGAGCGCTAGGACGCTTTTTGTTCGTCAAAGTACAGTACTGTGTTTTGGAAGCATTGAACTGTACAAGATTGTTGCGTCCCCAAGCAGTGATAGCCTCCAGGTCTCTTGTCAGAGAAGAAGTCGTCGCTAGTCTTCTTTTTTCCAGCTCAGCGGCAGAGATCGGCTTGTCACTCTGAATTCCTGCATGTAGAGTGCTGTCATCAGCGAAGCTGTGGATTGGGTTGATCGTGCAGGAAAGGAGGTCGTTGATATGTAAGAGAAACAGTGTCGGAGCCAAGACCGATCCCTGGGGAACACCCGCGTTGACGTTGTGGGATGAAGAGGAGAATCCGTCAATTACGACGAATATCTTGCGGCCAGAGATAAAGTCAGCCACCCATCTGGAAAGCTTTTCTGGGAGGCCGTAGGATGGAAGTTTGCTTAAGAGGGCAGCGTGCCACAGCTGATCGAACGCTTTCGTGATGTCAAGAGCAACGACATGAGCCTCACCACGAGACTGGATGAGTTTACTCCACAGTTGCGTGACGTAAGCTAGGAGGTCCCCTGTGGATCGTTGGTGCCGGAAACCGTACTGAATGTCGCTAATCAAGCTGTGACGTTCGAGGTAGCCCAGAAGCTCGCGATTTATGCACCTCTCCATCACTTTACTTATAACAGAAAGCAGAGCTATAGGCCTGTAGAACATAATATTTTATAAACGTTGCGTCGAAAGTGCAGAGTCAACCTACTTGACGTCATCTTTTTGTTGTTTACAACGGGAATTTACTGTGGAAGCTTCAATACCATTGATTAGGTCATGGATTATTAACGATGTGATGATGTTTCAAGAAATGGTTGTTTAAACAATTCGAGAAATTATACTGATGAATCAATAATATTAATAACAATCAATCCTCAAGATATCTACATATTTATAATAGTTATTATCCTCCAGGTTTATTTAATTTGACCTTTGTAGGCGTTGTTTGCTTTACGTGGAGACATTTTGATGCCCATTTTGCGACTTGGATCGAAGAATCATTTACGCTCAGAAAAAGAGCAGCTAATATACTAAGTGACATATAAATCCGAACACCCAGTTTAAATAGTTTTATTTTAATAAAAGTTGGTGAATGTATTTATCTTACTGTAAATGACAAGTGAAAAAATGTTCAGCCTTATCAGTTGGACATTCCGGTTTTTATACTGCTTTTTTTTTAATTCACTAACGCTCTAAAAATGAATATTTCAGCCGCAGTAAAGAATCAACGTTGGCGGATTTTGGTTCTTGACATCCTTTATGATCGGTTACGATGCCTAGAGTACGGAGACCTGTACGATTTCATCAACTTAGTGAGTTTGATAGGGGCCGTATAGTGGGACTTCGGGAAGCTGGACTTTCTTTTCGGGCAATTGCAGTTAGAGTGCAAAGAAGTGTAGACACTGTGGTTAGGTGTTGTCAGGCATGGCTTCGAGAAGGCCGTACGCAAAGAGCAAGGGGCACTGGACGCCGCCGTAGAACAACAGACCGTGAAGATCGCCGCCTAAGATTATTGGCCTTAAGGGACCGTTTCTCCACTACCAGGTCCATCGCAAATGAATGGTTTGCAGAACAGGGAAGACCTATTGGCATGCGAAGTGTTTACCGACGAATGAGAAGTTTTGGCTTGTTTTCATACCGGCCACACTGGGTCCTCCCTTTAACTCGAGAACACCACCGTAATCGCCTTGAGTGGTGCATACAACGGTCACTCTGGGATCAGGATTTTCTTTTTTTTATATCGAAACAGCCGCGCAGGCAGAAGCCTAAATGCCGGAACACCGCGGCTGCTATGATGATGCCAAAGAAATTTTGTTAATACGATTTTTGAACTGCCTAAGGTTAGTAGAACTGGGAAAAGCTTCCTCCCGTAGATTGTTCCACAATCTAGACACCCTCGGGACAAAGGAGCGGTCGTATCGGCCAGTTCTGGATGTACGAAGTTTGACACGGTCAGGCGGGTCTGTCTGGCAGGCACATCGCGCGGCGGCATCATGGAAGAGAGCTCTGAGGAGCAAAGCCCGTTGGTGTAGCGATAGAAAAGAGCTAGATAATGTAGTCGGGGGGGCAGCACCCCAAATGTGTGAGCAATACTCGAGGCTAGGCCTTATCTGGGCCTTGTATAGAGTGAGAAGGTCATGCGGAGAAAAGTACTTCTTAGCCCTAAACAAATAGCCTAGCTTTTTCCCAGCAGCTGCAGCTATTGAAGAGATGTGTTCGTGCCAGATCAGGTCCTCGGTGATCTGGACTCCGACCAGCCGAAATGAATGGCTCTTTGGTAGAACTCGACCGTCCATCGAAACTGTATGAGCGCTAGGACGCTTTTTGTTCGTCAAAGTACAGTACTGTGTTTTGGAAGCATTGAACTGTACAAGATTGTTGCGTCCCCAAGCAGTGATAGCCTCCAGGTCTCTTGTCAGAGAAGAAGTCGTCGCTAGTCTTCTTTTTTCCAGCTCAGCGGCAGAGATCGGCTTGTCACTCTGAATTCCTGCATGTAGAGTGCTGTCATCAGCGAAGCTGTGGATTGGGTTGATCGTGCAGGAAAGGAGGTCGTTGATATGTAAGAGAAACAGTGTCGGAGCCAAGACGTTGTGGGATGAAGAGGAGAATCCGTCAATTACGACGAATATCTTGCGGCCAGAGATAAAGTCAGCCACCCATCTGGAAAGCTTTTCTGGGAGGCCGTAGGATGGAAGTTTGCTTAAGAGGGCAGCGTGCCACAGCTGATCGAACGCTTTCGTGATGTCAAGAGCAACGACATGAGCCTCACCACGAGACTGGATGAGTTTACTCCACAGTTGCGTGACGTAAGCTAGGAGGTCCCCTGTGGATCGTTGGTGCCGGAAACCGTACTGCCTGTCGCTAATCAAGCTGTGACGTTCGAGGTAGTCCAGAAGCTCGCGATTTATGCACCTCTCCATCACTTTACTTATAACAGAAAGCAGAGCTATAGGCCTGTAGTTGTAAGGGTCGGTTTTAGATCCTTTTTTTGGGATGGGCTGTACATGAGCAAATTTCCAGTTTTCTGGGAAGTTGCCGGATTCATAAGATGTCTGGAACAGACGCGAAAGAACTGGAGCAAGCTCCGCTGCACATCTCTTCAGTACAATGGCAGGAATCAAGTCCGGACCAGAAGCTTTGTTGATGTCGAGCGACAAGAGCACTCGTCTTACGGTCTTATGCCTGAATGTTACCTCCCGCATAGTGTGGGGAACCCTTTGAATTGACGGCACTTGGGCGTTGGTGGGGACGTCCATGGTGGAGTTGGCAGCAAATATCTTGGCTAGCACTTCCGCCTTGGCCTTTGAGTCGAATACAATAGTTCCATCCTGACACGTAAGCGGTGGAAGGCTACTGTGTGAGAAGTTCTTTTCAATCTGCTTGGCCAGCGTCCAGAAAGACCGACTACCATTGCGCTGCGACATTACCCTGTGCCTAACTTTTATATCATGCTGGTTTTTGGCATTGCGAACCGCTTCGTTATATTTGTTTCTGGACTCGACGTCGGCT